GTGGGGACCGACACATACGATTTTCTCATCTCTGTGTGGTCCACCGCGAAGTAAAATTTTTTGTCTTCTCAGTGATCTGTCCCAAATACTTTTCTATAACTCTCGTTTTTCGAAAACCTTACTTGTAAACGTAAACAATGATCAGCTGAGCACATCTGTAGTGGTTTAAAATCGAAATGTCAGTTTATTTTCATTTTCTTAAGTGCATATTCAGGTTTTTAAACGTAATTTTTCTTTTACGTTTGTAATATTTTTTGTAATCTGAACTGGTATCGATTGAGATCAGATTATAATCATTTTTACTTAGATTACAAACATTTTTGTTAGTAGTTAAGACTGGGAAAAAGTAGAGAAAAGAAGAAACAAACGAACCAAAACATTTAAAATAAAAAGTATTATTAAAGTTCTTTTTCTTTTCGAGCATTTCTTTTTACTAAATAAGAAAGTATGTAACTGTTATTTTCGGAACATACTGCCAGCTGCACAGCACACATATTTTTCTCTTCGCCCTTCTTTTCCTTCGCCATTTTTTTTTTCTGTTCTCCTTTCTGAATTATATTAACCAAGGTGCTAACATCCTATGGTCTGCATTATTGGAATCTTAAAATTCACGATTTTAAATTAATAAAATCAGCATCTTAACTGTTTTCGAAATTAAAATAGGATTCTATTTTAAATTGGTTTACAAATCGTTGCCATCTTCACAGCTTCAAAACAAAGAATGTGTTGTTCTGTTGTGACTTATCTCACTTGTCTGACAGTAATATCAGAACAAGCCCACGAAATTCATCGTGGCAAGGAGTGCAAGATTGTGCATGTCATTTGCAAGAGCCTTGAGCACCCCACAGGTGATCATACGGCTTTTCTCAGTACCACCCCCCACCCAATTTTGATGGAGACCACCCCGGAGGGACAGGTCCGAGGGTCTTCCATCCTTCTTTCCCTATCACCAACCTCTCGAGAGGACTTTCGGCTCACCGCATATTTAGAGTGTCCCCATGCCACACAGACACATTTACAAACGTCACACAGGCACGTTACGCAGACACATTTACAAGCGCGAGTTTGTCTCAAAGATATGTCCAGGACTGAATTACATCACTTATGTTGTGACCTACTTATATTAATTTCTTCATTCTATGTACATTTTTTTTTTTTTTTCATTTTTTTTTTTTTTTTTTTTTTTTTCCGGTTGGTAATCTTTCATTTTTTATAATGTGCTTGACGCACAGGGGCAGATTTAATTCTTCGGGAACATAATTTGTTATAAAGAAGGAATATTGTTTCCAAATTAAAGCAGGTAAGATATTAATTAGCAGATCGTTAGCATTAATTTTCGTAAAATTACATTACCCTAAAAGTTTGTAAAACTCCATTAAAAATATAAATGGAGAATCTCCTCCGTGACTAAATCTCCAAGTTCTTTGATCTCAAGGCTGTGATCCCGTTTTCTCCACATCTTCTTCCTTCTCGCATCTAAAAAGGAACGAAGAAAAGAGTTAGCTTAAAAAAAGAAGGTTATATTTATTAGGTTCCCTGAATAGATTCTGAATCAAAACAAAACCCACTGTCATTGTTTTTCCGTGTAAAAGCTAATCTTGATCAAGGCGCCATTGTTACAGATGAGAGAAGGAAACCGAAAGAAAAGGAAACAAAAAGTTGACCTTGTCTTGCATTAACTGTTCTCCGGTGACAAAAGGATTATTCTAATGCTTTAGTCGCAGATACAGCACTATTGACAAGCATCTAACTACTAGAATCAATTTATTTATTGCTGCGAAACAAAGTCTCAGCCAGTATAGGAACTCATTTATCTTAAAAAATCGGATTGTTTTGACTGAAAAAAAAAATATCATGCTTTTGGTTTGTTAAATTGTAAAGCTCGCAAAACTTAAACAATAGTCATTCAATGGCAAAAATTATGATTCGAAAATAATTATTTGGGGGACTTTTGTTGTTTGTTTTTCCAGAAGGTTTGCATTTATCACGTTTATAAAAATGATGAATAATGTCACTTAGTTTTACTCCAGTAGAAAAAAACTGGGTAGAAAGAAGTAATACATTTCTTCAGTCGTTAGAACAATAAATCTTATCCGTTCTTCAATAAACGGCCGTTCTTCTTCGCCAACGAAACATGAAGCATTAGCGAACAAAAACCAGTTATATATTTGCCTGTTTCATTAAACTTTTGACAAGCACGCGGGATGCTTTCGAAAGGGTGTTGTTCTCATAGATAATTTTCCACAAGAAATTGCAGGACGTTACGCGCGAGATACGACTCTCATTAAGTAAATGGGAATCGAAAGCGAGCGTAACTGGTATCAGTAGTTAGTGGTTTTACCCACTCGGCCAGTGACAGACTGACGAACTTTTAAATTTTTTTAACATGCAGTCCCGTTAGCATGGAATCAGTTTAGTTCTTAAGTGCTGCCAGAATGCTTTTTAATAAAAAAGAGAAAAACGTAAATATTTCAGGAGTCTGATGATGAGGTTGTAGGGATAATACTTTGCAATCAGCCTGAGCTAAACTTTGCCATAGATCTAATGATAACCTTCTCGGTCTGTGACTTAATAAATGAATGCGGAGTGAAACTGTTTCATTACTTTGAACATAAATTTAGGAACCTTTTTCAAAGCACATTCGTTGAGTTTGTAATGAAACACGTGAACCTAATTAGACTTGTTCGCTGATAACGGTTAAGAACTGAATAACTCGGATACCAGTCATCACGGAAAATTGTGAGAAGCTGCTTGATGATTTAGAGGAAGACTACGAATCTTCATATTTCGGGTTTCAGTCCTAACTGAACTCGCTAAGCTTTATAATGACTCTGAATTCGTATCATATACAAGTACACATTGATACGGTAAAGCTCAGTAATGGCGCAGTAGTTAAAACCACTGAACAATGGTAGTTCAACTCGGGATTAAATCCTGATAAACGAGAGAGTTGCACGGGTCATGCTTTTCATCCATTTCGTTTAAATAGTCCTTCACGGAGCATCCTTCCCATTTGATAGACAGCCGTCGAACACTTTACCATAGTTATTAAAATACACAAGCAATAATGAGATAATACAATTTAAATACATTAGAATCATATATGTTGAACTTCGCGATGTTGACTAATAAATAATTTATGTGCTGATTCACAAGCTACATTCATAGAAAAAAATTTATTTGTCAAAGATGTTGTTAAATGACACAAAGGATCGTTTCGGTGCTTAAGGAGGATGGTTTATCCTACACATACCGAGGCCCGATCCACAAAACTAGAGGCCCAGGGCGAAATCTTTTACTGAGACCTTTCTTTCTCTTACTTCTTTTCGTTACATTAGATATTACTTATGCAAATTATACAAAGTATTTTGCCTAATGAAGTAGTAATTTACCATTTACTCATGTGAGATTATTTAAACAAATAATAGATTTCACTTTTCTATACGTTTTATTTTTCCTGATTTCATTTTATTACGATTTACGTAAAATATAAGCTTATACTTTTTTTTTTTTTTTTTTTTTTTTTTTTTTTTTTTGTTTTCCTTGAAAACAAATTTGATGAAAAAAGGAACCTAAAGAATTCTTACTTCTTAGGTCTTAGTAAATCATAAAGAAAATAATATAATTAATTTAATATATGTCAAATATACGACCATACTTAAGATAATCAAAACCTTCACATCATGTGACATCATTAGCTTCAAATGTTGCACATTAACCGACAATAGCTATGAAATTTAGCGTTAATTTACAGTTCGAGGCTTTGCTAAGCATTATCAGTCTTTGGAAACATACATGTCTCCAAATGTCTAGAAAGAATATTTAAGGAACTAAAGCGTATAGTTATCTTGTAGAGACATTAGGTAATTTTTGGAAGCAAAAGAGATGAAAAATTAGCAAACGCCTACGCCGGGAATCAAACCACGGACCTCTGGAATATCGGCCCAGCGTGCAGAACCACTGCACCACGAAGGCACGCTAAGGAGGTGGGAGAAATACCGTATAATCTTCTTTGAATGATCTGTTTCACGACGGATTCCCCAAGATTTGAAATGAGGTCTAAAAACAACATATATATCAGAGTTTATTGTGCGTGCCATATTTAATTTTGAAAGCTACATCCTTCTATTTTATCTGACTTTCTCAGCTAGCTGACGTGATATCAGTCCCCATTACTATTTCACTCTTCCACTTAAACAACTAAACAGTAAAAAGAAATGAAAAATCCACATTGTCTATAGAATACCCGATAGTTCTGCATAATTAGAACTATATAATACCATTTGATATAATTATCATATGCTTTGAAGAATTTTCTAGTCTGCTGTCGCTATTTTTCTACCGACGTTTATCAAGAGGACTTTCGTACTGATGGGTTTTCAATACTCTTGCTAGAACGACAAATGTCCATGTCTTACCCAACGTTCGGGACCGATCACTCCGCCCATGGCCGAGTGATTAAGACCACTCAGTTTTGATAGTTCGATCTGGATTCAAACCCAGGCGAACGGGCTGAGTAATTGGTTTTCATGATTTTCTCCATGTGTAACACGAATATGATCCCGTTTCCCAGGAAGAAATCCGTCGCATTACGCATAGCCCGCGTGTACTTTTCCATACTTCAAATAACCTAACCTTTAAGTAAAATGAAAAGTGGCTTTGTCTGATATAACTCAATAACACACGAAACCACTTTTCATTTCATTTTATTATTATTTGCCGTTTTAAAAATTAATAGCCTTGTCTTGTATAATTTCAGAAATATAGCTTTCAATTTAATTAAATTAATTAAGATCCCCCAACGATACGGTGGTGTTTAAAGCAATCTTTATTGTTTTATTGTTTGTAAATTTTATTTCTTTTTCATTTACTAATTCCTCAGGTGTGACTTTAAAAGCAGAATCCTTATAGAAATTGTTTTATGCATTTATAGAAAATGAATGAATCAATCAGAAATATTTTTTTCGTTGACTGAGAGTGACAACTTTCTTTGTTTATAGGTGAGTGGTGGCATTTTGGTCCGGTAACATATTTGAGGACTGATCCCTAGCTGCATTCTTCATGAGTATCAAAAGTGAGCACAACAAAACAAATATCCTCATAAAAAATAAGTAAGTTTATTCTATGAATTTTGTCGATGTGTCCTATATTAGAGCAAATTAGAAGCTGTGGAATGCTTGTGGTGTTGTAGTTTGTGACTTGTGAATGCTTGCTAACAACTGCGAAAAATTTACCTTGCCTGTAAAATTAACAAATAATTTAATAACATTTCATCTGACACTGCTGTTTATGATCTACAATGTTTAAAGAAACTCTCTCAAAGTAATTCTTAAGCATTAATTTCACCCTAAAATTTCGTAAGAGTATCAGTCCATAAACATCAACAGCAGCATCAATGTAAAGATAATTTGGTTTTATAGGATTTAATGTAATTTGAAAGTCAATTTCTTATTTCTTACTATGCCATCAATTTCTCTTTGGCAGTTTTTAAAGGGCAAAGTTATCGCTTTTATAAGTAGATTTCAGCAATTTTGCGATAAAAATAATTTTATTTCTTATTTTTATCACAAAATTGCTTTTTATCGCAAAATATCCTTATATTTAAAAAAAGTAGGATGTTTGCCGAATTCAATGTACATTCAAATAAATAAATATGTAATTATATATGTATATAAAATAAATTTAACGTTGAGAAGTTTCATTTTAATTTTCCGTTTCAAAAGTAAGATTTTAGTTGACTTGTCCTCACTTTTGAGAGAGTCAGTACAATAACTTAACTAACTTGTATTCATTCTTTCCCAGAGATACATAATTTCGCAAGTTAGTTTAGTATAAATAAATATTTTTACAAATTTTGTACTTGTACATATGTAAATAGTTTTAATGAAATGTAATTTTTTTTTTGGGGGGGGGATATAATTTAACTTGAAAATCTAAAGATTCGATGCTTTGCCGAAAAAGAAAGAATACAGAGATAAGTCTATTGAACATTAAGTAAATGGCTATCTTGCTAAATTGGCGAGATATCGCCAAGTTGGTGATGTTTGGGGCGACTAATTTTGTCATCAAATTTGGCGGCCCTGTATAATAGTAATAGGTATTTTAATTGAATAACTGTGATTAATCTATATAATTAAGACATAACACGCCGAATAAATACTAATTCAGAAGTCAAACAACAAAAAATCAGCGTTATACCTACAAAATTTTCACAGGACTAGTTTCGATGGTTTTACCGAACCATCATCTTCAGCTGCAAAACCGCAAATGAACAAGATAGGAAATAATGATTAGATAAGATAAGAAAGCCTGAACAAGAATAAGCAAGTGGCGCCATCTGTTGGCGAAACCAGAACTAAAACATAATTTCTCTAAAAGCCAAAGGCAAATTTGGATTGGAATTAGGATCGTTAACTAGAACAGAAAGATTTTTATGAATGTGAAATGCCTCTAGAAAATCCAGTTCTCCAATGGAAGATGTTTTTTGAATAATTTTGGCAGCAGAAAAATTGAAAGTGTGATTTTCGGACCAGCAATGTTGAGCAACAGAAGACTTCTGTGTTTCCTTTTTTCTAACATATGCCTCGAACATGATGGTTCGGTAAAACCATAGAAACTAGTCCTGTGAAAATTTTGTAGGTATAACGCTGATTTTTGTTGTTTGACTTCTGAATTAGTATTAATCTATATGTCCAACTATAACCCTTAGATATAATTTTAACCGTACATGCCTTTCAGTAATTTCGAGAAATCGAATTTGCTAGATATTTCTCGACGGCCGGGTGAAAACTGTATAAGACTAGAAAGAACATCTACTCTCAGTTTTGGCTGTTCAGACCGACTTCGGAGTATTGAGATATCCGTCAGAGCTTCGCTTTTTCGATACATTTTGCATTGCGTTTTGTTTAACGTTCTTAGTAGTTTCTAGTTAGTTCTAACTACTGATTTTTCTCTGTGAGACTCTGCAAAGTTGCACGAGTATTTTTCTGAAAAGTTCCATAACTATGAAGTGTTTTTTCAATAAATTTTATTAGGCTTTGAACAGTACTGTGTGCAGTCAATCTATTGCAAACCTGTACGCACGCAACAATATGCAAGTCAAGTGTGATTCATTATTCTTGTTATTTAAGATACTTTTACTGTTAGAAACTGCTGTTCTGGTACCTTGAAGTTACTGTGCTTTGAACTAGAATTTATTGACTGATCTAACTGAAAAATACTGATTTATTGAAAATACATCTTAAATAACTTTGTAGAGCCATTATGTTTTTCGGAATAAGAAACATGAAATTCAACTATGCCCTTCTCAGACTCGAGACATGGATCTTCCAGTTGCTGGCTGAATGTGCTGAACTGGTAGCTCATCCAGCTTGCAATATGTGTCCATAATTGATAGCACTTTCAGTATTCGAGCACTATCCGTATAATTAGTTGCACGGGTATTCTTTGGTGCTACAGCAGAATATGTTAAGTCTTTAAATGTTTTCCTCCTTAAAAAACGACAATCGTCTATAGCATTTTTCTTGGCACTACTGTACAGACATTTTGTAGATAAGACATACACTTTTTTGTATAGCCTGTAGAGGTTTTCGAAACAAGAAACAGGAAAAATCAGCTGCATCTTTGATGGGATTCAAAATATGGTTTTTCTAATTGCTAGTTTGACCTGCTACCAGTAACATCACGAGAGAACGCATTGCGTGCTCTCGTGCTCTTTGACACTGCTCTCGTGAAAGGTATGCAGGCCCACCAGCGGCCGAGCGGTAAAATCGCTGAACCCTAGTGTGCTTTGCCGTATTCTCAATACACGTGAAAGGTATGCGATAATTCCTTTTAACTTTTCGTTGCTTAGGAAAATAGGAGTTAACACCTCCAGAAGAAGGAAAACGTGCTGGATGTATTCTGTATTTGTAATCAACTATTGTTAACTTTTGCATTGTAAATTTTCTTCCATATTTATAAGAAGCTTTTGATTTCTGCTATTACATGTTTGTATAACAGGAGGTTTGGTTACGAATTAATTTTGATTATATTTTTTATTGTTTGAAAATTTGTAAGAAACAATTAAAGTCCACTAATAGGTGACAAATTGCATGTTTTAAGTTTGGGTTAAATCTTCATTTAATAGAAATGCTTACTGTCAAATCCCCCCCCCACCATGATGCTAGAGTAAAGCCTATGTAGTATTAGTTTGTTATGTAACAACTTATTAAAAAACTAATTAATCCATTGTATAATTATTCACCTCATATAAAATTATGTGTGAAAATGTAAAGTCTCTACAAGGTACCAATAACTATAATAAAGTAATAGATGGCGGAATCATAAAGCTATCACTATTAGATTTATTACGATATTTCATTTATTATGATTTGGTTAAGATATCTCCTGCAAATTCCTTACGGAATACTTTTCTCAGAACTGTGTTCTAATACTATATATTTATTTCGCATCTCGCATCATAGCCTGCGATAAATATCCGCTTTGAGGTTGATATCATCGAAGAGAACTCTTTAAGAGAATCTAGACCACATTTAAGCAATGAGAGTAAGTTTAGAAATTAAATATATGAGGAAACTTGCAGTGATTTTTATCTACATGGTCATTATACTGACAAACAACGGAGAGAAAATGTTCCCAGTTTTATGAGAAGGATGCATTAAATTAAGAGTTTTGTGCTTCATATAACTGCTTTTATATTATTAGATGTGACAGGTACTGGAATCGCAGGTAGTACCTATATATAACTATACGGGTGTAAGTCTTTCACCATATTGTGGCTTCTTTGCGTATTAACACAGATGTGATGAGGGCGTCTTTAGTAATAGATACGTTGTACAGGACAACACTTTATTTATTTACAATCTACAGTACTAAAAAGTAAACCTCTCTATATATTACATAAAGTTAATAACATAATGGTCTTCTGGCTTACCGCGTAATATACATAAGCCATTATCGTGACTTCCGTTTTCTCGTGATGTGTCCCGAGTCAGTGTCTCGTGGGAGAGAAGCGAAAGCAGGACTTAAAAGAGAATTGCTAGTTCATAGATCTTTTCCCCCTGAAATAGAAAGTGAGGAGTGATGACATAGTCGTTGACACTGACTGCAAAGACACAAATCTCAGAATGAAATAAAAGAAAAGAATAATAAAAGAAATTTTAAATTTGAAAAAGCAACCTTAGAAAACTGTGCGTAAAAAATAGCTTTAATTTAGAACAGAAGATGTTATTACTGTATACATTTATAGCGTTTAAAAGGTTAATGATGCTTATTTATTAATTTCAAAATAATAAGATCTTGCGTTCTTCACATTAATAGAACCCAGTCTTAGACACATGTATCCCTTTTTTTCGCCAAAAGCAAATTGTCCTTTGGAAAAATATGAAAAACAATATCCCTATCTTTCTCATATCCAACGAATTTTATGGCACTTTGCTACAATGCAAGAAGACATATTACGTAAACGATATTTATAACAATGGTCTCAAACTTACATTGTACACGGACCAACGCATAATTTGAAAGTAGCTGACTGACAGCAATTACCAGAAAAAAAATTTCTTTATTTTTTTAAAAAAGCAAAATTTGTTAATTAAATTAAAAACTTTTACTAGATATTTGTCAAAACATATGAATAAAAACAACGTAAAGAACACTTATAGTTTGCTTCAAATCTAAAAAGGGGTATCTGTAAGAAATTTCTGTTGGTGTCACAATTTGAACTTCAAACAGATAGCTAAATTTTAATATTTGACAGCTAAATGTTAAAATTTTCAAATTGAGATTTATTCAGCTATTTGTAATATATTGAACTATTAAGTAACTTATTTTTAATTTAAACTGAAAGGAAATATACGAGAACTTCTCAAGAAGGATAAAACTTGAGAATAAATAATGACAACCTATTCTCTTTTATTTATTCGATTATTCTACGACGCAAAATAGAAAAAGAAATATTTTTATGTAAATTATTGTAAACGTCTTTGTTCTTACTACACTTTTAGCTACAATATCTCCTGACGTTTCCATTTTCATGGAGTTTGCAATATTGGAAATTACTAAAATGTATCGTTATAAATTATAGACACACATCTTGCGGCCCATGAGC